TAAGATTCGGATTACCTTGTAGATCGAATATCTCAAACCAAGAACACTTTGTTTGAGATTCGAATCACTCCAGAAGCAAGATCGATCATATCTAGCTTCAATGATTCTTGTTGATCAAATATCTCAAACACTTGTTTGAGATTCGAATCACTCCACAAGCAAGATTGATCATGTCGAGCTTGAATGATTCTACATGCAACCTAAACTACATAGAATTGCAAAGAAACTTAGCCATTGGCTAAAGAAAAGCACAAATGCTTCTTTTAATATATTTTCCAAGTCTTCCTTACAAATACAACATACATGGCTTTATATAGCCTCAAAATGAAAGCATTCCAAAAGTTGTAACATTCCTACTTAATGACCATAATTAGCCATTATGTAAATGTAACCTATAAAGTAAATAAAATGTCTTAAAATACAATAACTCTAAATTACTCTAAATTGTAACCCACCCAAAATTTATAACCATCAAACTTCATTCCTCTTCAATGTGACATGAATTGCAACCTCTTTTGATAATTTTGACATCATTTTCTTCACATCTTCATTGAAGTATATTGTATGAATGATGTCTCTTGGTTCATATCAATACCTTTTCTTCAGTCAGAGTTCAGGGTTAAGAGGAGCGGGGAATAAGCGTGAATAGCCTACGGAGATGTTGATCAAGTTGTCAAGGAGAATCTGCCCTTGTTTTGGCTTTTAGTCATCAGTCTGTTCCCACCGGAGCTAAATAGGGAATAGAAAGGTTTCCATTTGGCATAAATCTTTGGCGAGCCCACAGCTCTCACGTAATTTCTACAATGAAGTTAATAAAGAGACGAATGAACTCCAAAAAGAAAAGAGTCCTTGAGGTCAATCACAGGTCATTAGCAGTTCTTCCCATTTCTTTTGGAAGTCAAGCCTAGCCTAGATAAGAGCAAGAGAGGGTAAAAGGATTAGGATCTTCTTACCTGAGATGGCCGCTTCTTCTAAAGTAACGGATTTGATGAAAGAATTTCTTACCGGTTAAGATGCTACGAAAATAGCTCTTATATTATGCCTTGCCTACACAGAGGAATGAGGAGCTTTTCTAACTCAATCATACTGACAGCTCTCACGTCTAATTCAATAGAAAGAAAGAAAGAAAGAAAGAAAGATCTCTGGCTTGTTAAATAGAAAAAGGATGTTATAGCTTACAGCTAACCGCTTATGAAATCCTATAAGGGGAATTGACTGAAGAGAAGATATGGCTTACAGGTCGACTTTAGATCAAGGAGGAGAAGATTCTATAGTCTCCCGGACTAGGGTAGAAGAAGAGATTAGGAGGCTGGGAAAGGACAGAGGTTCATAGAATCATTGGGATAAAGCAGTTCAGGCTATTGGCATTTTATCCCAGGGTATTGGAATTGAGAATGGAGAAAGAGGGAATTGTTAGTTCAGACTGAAGTCTGCCTTCTCTTTCTGAGGCTTGAGGAGCCTACTGATCTATTAGCTAATAATGTAGTTGATTCTAAGGCATTAGTCAGACTGACCGGCCACCTCTAGAATTCCATTTGATCTTAGCGGCTCATTCCTCAAAGGCCTTTTGGGAAACGATTCACAGGGCGTGGGGCCTTGATAAGTAAATACTGATACGATAGACCTTCAGGCACACTGACTAACTTACTATCAGTATCTCAATCCAATGACAAGAAAATCCTGCTGACGCCTAAATTGAAATTGAAGTATTCATCTCAGGCTTTCCTACCAAATCATTTAGCTTCTAGAAATTGTAAGAGAACGGATTCCAACGGGAGTGCGATGATAATAGAAGGAAGGGCATAGGCTCTTCCTACAATGCTGATTTCAAGGCTTTTGGAATAGAAGCCAAGGCGCGAATGAAATCCAATACTTCTTTCACTCAATCCTCGACTTATTCCCAAAGAATGAGAGCCTGAAGAGCCGCTAAGATCTGTTGATAATGGATAATCTGACCTTACCTTCTTTCCTAACTAAACAGAATGAATTACGTCTTTCTTATTGCACCTTTGCTAGCTTGATAGATGCTTTAAGGTCGGTGTAAGGAGTGTTAATAGAATCAATGGGTCATGTCAACAAAGTCAACTACTTACATTTCTTCTGCAGTTTCACTATTTCTTCCTTCCTCCCGAAGATGAAATGGGACTAAGAAGTGATTGTAAGGGTTTCGAATGTGAGGAAGCTGTCGAGCCTAAGGAGATGTTAGCAAAAGAGAATCTAACTCTTACTACTTGCTTTCAACTCTACTCAAATCTTAAGCCGAAGTGTAAAACCGGAAAAATAGAACTATTTATTTGAAACTTATCTTCCAACTGAATTCCTTCTCCTTTTAGATGCATTAAGGGCACATAAAAAGAAAGAAGATCAGGCTGTTTTCGGGTTTTTCGGGCCCAGTATTAGAATATCAAGACTTGCTAGCGGTCTTCCAGTATCTGAGAAAGAAAAAGAATCTGGCTGGTTGTCCTTGCTTTTTGAAGTGATTACCGGGGGTGTTGGGATCTGATTATCTTTTCCAAGAACTTCCTTATCAGGAAAGACTGACACATCTCTTGTTTGAGGCTAACCACTAAGACAATCTTTTGCTGGAAGTGAACCGTTAGCTAGCTTAAGTCAGAGCTAATAGAAAGAAAGACGAATCTCCGAATTTGGGGCTAAATTAGGAATTTCATTTTGTCTTAGAAAGTGATCTGAAGCAGGAGTTGATTTCATGAACGCGGCAAGACTGATTGCTTTGTAGCTGGTCTCTCGGGCATCCAGCGCAGCCTGAGGAGAATCAAGCATACTAAACGAAATAGTTCGTTACTACAGATACTAATTACTTAGCTTTCTCTATCTCACGAAATCAATCAAATCAATAATCAAGTTCTCTAGGAAAGGACAGGACCAGTTAGTCTTATATGATGCTAGCAGGTCTTCCGCTTAACTTTTTCCTGACGTGTCAGTCTAAATACAAAATAG